AATAAAAATAATTTTCAACAGAGGGGTAATCACATAACAAAAGATAACTTAGTATAATTAGTAACAGTTTATCTTTTTTGTTTCCCTTTATCTATGTTCATTCAACTCAAATCCCTGATTACAGAGCATAATCAATTTTACTGCCACTCTTTCCACATTTATAAGAACATATATACATACTTTAGCAACATCACAGTGTTAAGTTATTTTAGGTAATAACTTAAAATTTTGAAATGATAAGAGCACTATAAGTTCATTGAGGTTTTGGATAGGCTCCTCAATGCAACAGGACCAATACATCATTGCAAGTTTAATCCCAGTCACCCAGAATTCGGCCTCACCAAGTGCAGAGTCGATACTTTCATTTTAAAACTGATCTCTAGTGGAAGCCAAGCAAGATCACAACAGAGTAAGAACTTCCAAAAATCTTGGATTTTCACAGCAACATCAATTTGAACAGATTTTCACATACAAAACAGGCCGAACCTTAAGGCTAAGTGGGGTAAACCTGTATTCCATCCAGCATCACCTGCAACTGACTGCAGGAATCTTAGGTCACAAGTACATCACTACTACAGGCAGGTCAGAGCATTGTGGACTTTGGTCCCGGCCCTGCACTGCACTGGACTGAGTGGGTTGTATGTATTGGTTGCAACTGAGCACTGAAGCGTTAGTACCATAATCATGGCCACTCCATCCTTCACCCAACCTGAGGCTAGACAGCATGGAGAATCATTGTCTTCTTAAGGAAGAATTTGAAATTGGGCTCCAACATGTTGCTTAGGAGGCCAGAGCCAATCCATCCAGAGTCACAGTGAGGCCTACAACACCTAATCACAATCCAGTGATTGTGGATGAGGCACATGTGCCTGCTCCAGACCCTGAGGAGACTTGCAAAGACACACAATTTATTTTAGGCATTCACCTGGTCCATCCTGAACCTGCAGATTTACAACAAACCTGAGTTAAGCTGCCTTCTAGTACTAAAAGAGGAACAACACATCAACTACAAATTCACAGCAAACTTTGACTTAGGGTAACATCTGGTGTTGAAATAGCATAAGCAACTACAGGCTCGGAGAAAAGAAGCAACTGTTTAGAATTTCTAGACATACAAGGACAAACAAAGCCTGATTATAAAAAGTGGAATAAATCTGTAATTCTTTAGTGGGCAGACACTGTCATACAACAACAAACATAAATAAATTTAAGAAACATGTCTTCAAACTGACAAAATGAGGTAGAAGAAGCTGAACACAAAGCATTAAATGTGTACTAACAATCATACAGAGAATTTAAAATAGCATTTTAAGGAAACAAAATAAAATTCAAGAAGATACAGAATAATGATTAAGTACTTTACCAAAAATTTAACAGAGAGATTGAAGTAAATTTTTAAAAGTCAAACAGAAATCCTTTGGCTGTAAAATATGCAGAATGTTATAGAAGGTATAAATAGCAGAATAGATCAAATTGAAAAGCACTAGGTGACTTTAAGACAAGCCATTTGAAAGTGCATGGTCATATCCTCTTTATTTCATTGATTGTTCCTATAATCGTGCTTTTGAGTTCTTTGTCTGGGCTTTCTTTCTCTTTACTATCCTTAGTGTCTGTTACTGTGAATTTGTTGACCTCCAGGGGAGTCTTGTGTTTCTCCATTGAGAATTATGCATATGAGACCAAATTTATTGGCTGGAAGTTTTAATAGCCAGTAGTCTTCAGCTGAATTATTCTGTGTTCAGGCAAGACTTATAGTAGGAGGGGCAGTGTAGTTTCTCACCACTGAACTGGGGGGTAGCTCCATAGTCATGCTTTTGCCTGTGTATCCAAGATACCAGGCCTGGTCCCCAGCACCACTCAGATAGAGGAGAAGTGGATGGAGTCTCTTATGTTTTCTTCTACATGGGTTGGTGTTATATGTGAGTTGAGGGTGGAAGGGTCAGGTGTCTATTGTCTACTTCCATGCTGTTTCTGCCTTAGAAGCTTCCTTTCTTTGTATACTAGAAGCCACTACTGGCTGCATGGCATATTTTAGTCTATAGGCAAGGTAAGTTCCCATGTACACATACCATACATGGGAAAATACACATACAAGCCTTAGTGTGTCCCCCAAATGTATCCAATATGAGGGTAACAAATAGCACATTGAGTTCTGCACAGGTGTTGGAGAACTGAGGGACCTGGGGGCTCTGCCTGTAGGTCTCAGTTCTTTCAAACCATGCCCAGCAGTTCTCCATCCTGTGGAAGGGATGAGATTTGGGAATATCTCATGAGCCCTGAGTCCTGTGCTCAGAGCTTTCAGTCACCTGGAAGCAATTCCCCAAAGCCAAGAAATAGTTCCTGGATGCTGAGCACTGTGCCAGCCATGGAATGGGCTTGGTGCTGTTTCTAGAGTGATCTCTTGGCACTGAGGCTGGCTCTAGTCAGAGAGGGAGAAGCCACCAGTCACCAGGCCCACTCACTAGCTGAGCACCTGGTGCTGCTTTAATTTCTCAGCTCTCCCATGTCAAAGTCCCTCCCTCTCCTTGACAACTTCTCATTACTATCTTTCTCCCAACATTATGACCAGGTATCCCTAAACTCCATGAGCTGTGATTTTTCCTTAATTTTCTGTATACCCCCTCTGGCTCAGTCTCAAAGCTTGCCTGTCCTTAGGCAGTTTGGGGAAATCCTATAACCTGAACTCTGCCAGTGGAGGCTAGGTGTTTTGTTTTTGAAACTGTCCTTAGACAATGGAGCAGTTCATACTGTGCAGGTCGATAAGGCTGTGTGTCCAATCTCTGGGCCTTTTGCTACTTCCCAAGCTGCTGCCAGAAGCCCTCAGTTTAGTCAAAACTTCTCCCTCTCTACAACTGCCTCTGGTGGTATTCTCCCACTAAGATGCTATGGATGGGAGTCCCACAACCCTAAACTGCTTCTTTTCACATCCTCTGAGTAGCTCAGTCTCAAAGCTTATCTGCCTATAGGCTGTTTTCAGGCAACTTCTATAATCTGAAATGACATTGGAGGCCAGTGCTTTGTTTTGAAATTGTCCTCAGGAATGTAGCTGTTCTCACTGGGTGTGGTAGGGCCCAACCATTGCATTTTTCCCTCCCCAAGCTCCTGTTTACTTCTCAGCTTGCCTCAAGTCAGAGTCTCTCCCTCTCCATGAGCCTTCCTGGCCATCTCCTCTCACATACTATGGCCAGGTATCTCAAGACACTCTAAGGTGTGATTGCTTCTTGTTAATAAGACCTCTGGAGTACCTCAATCTCAAAGGAGAACCCCAGATGGTACCTTGCCACAACTCTCTGAGGTACAGATATGAAAGTTTGTCTTATCTGGTGTTGGCCTGTTGTGCTAGGGAAGTCATTGTCCAGTCAAATTCTTTCACTGGGATTGAGGATTGCTGATGATGTGGGTTTTGTCCAATAGTTAGATATGTCAATCTGTTTCAAAGGCCATCTGGCTTACCTTGATTGGTGACTTCAGCTTCCCCTCCTCTTGAGGAATCCAGGGCTTGAACTGAAAACACTTTCTTAATTTACTTTGTTGCCTCTCTGTTTTGCTGTATTTTTCCTCTGTCTATACCTCTTGTGGTTGTCAATGATCTTTTTTGCTCTTCTGTATATAGTATCTTCTTTGTTACCCAGTCTATTCTTGTTCAGGGAGTCTGACTGAGAAAACTTCTACTTCTGTTATATATTGCTGTCCCATCTGTAATTGCAGCTTAATATGAAAAATGTATATCAAGGGAAGATTCAAAAAACATGCTCATCAGATGAATATAAAACTTTTGAACCTCTTGAAAATACCATAAGAAGGGGAATAGGTAGAAAAAAGAAAAGTAGAGATGGTCTAATGTGGGTTATAATACATGAAAATGTCACAAGGAAACTCCCTGTATAACTAGCTATCTTAAACAAATAAAAATGTCAATTTTTTTCTTTTACAAAATCAGAGGTCAGAAGGGCAGAACAGGTCCTGTCAAGGGTTGATACCAGTGAGAGGGGGGAGAATATGGGGAAAGAGTGTAGGAGGGTGAATATAGTGAAAATATATTCACTGTGTACACATGTATATAAATGGAAAAATGAGACTATTTGAAACTATTCCAGGAATGGGGGAGACAGAATAAAGGAGAATGATGGAAGGGGTAAATTCAAGTATAATATTTGATATATTGTAAGAACTTTTGTAAATGTCACCATGCACCCTCAGCACTATAAAAAATTTAAAAGTGAAAATAAAATAAGTCCCTCCTAAAAAAAATCCTCATCAGAAAACACTGTTATAGGTTTGCTTTGTACAGATTAAGAAAAAGTAAGCTCATCAACATCTGACATCACTCATACTTCATAAAAATGAATGAGAATTCTGCTGCTCAATTATGTCAAATTATTTTCTTTAAAGAATTTGCTAATCTTTTGATAGAACAAAGCAAAATTTAAAAGAGTAGAGAACTGACTAGATGTTAAGTGCTTCTTAGAAATGATTATTTTAAATGCTGTGTATATATAAAATTTACTAACAAATTTTGATGAACTAGTTAAAATTAAAATTACTTTTAGAATCTTGGAGAAAATGCCTTCTGTCCATGTTTAAAATTGAAAATCAATTTCTACAAGACAGGAATAAGAGTTTTATGGAGTGTACGAAATTCCTATTAGAGATCAAATGGCCACTGAAGACAGATATCATGCTTCACAGGCATAATTTTTAGTTCCTGAATTTGTTTTAGGATGCTCCATTAGAATTAGACAAAATAGGACTAGCCCTGTTTTGATAGCTGTTGAAGCTGGCTAAAGGACACATACAGATTTTTGTATTATTTTTCCCTTTTGTTTAAGTTTAAATATTGCCACAATAAAAAGTTTAATTCAGAGAAAGCAGAAAGATATAAAAACTAATCTGTGTCAGGACATAAGATAGAGAACAACAAGAAGGCAACAGCACTCTTGGTTAGAGCAAAGCATCTGGCACAGCAATGTCTTTCAACTTTCCTCTCCTCTCTTTCTTTCAGTTCTTTATTTGCTCACAATCATGGGTCAGGAGCTTTCTGATGAATCTAATGGTGAAGAACACCAAGATTGGGATTCCAGATTTGCCACATATTTTAAGAACTTGAGGCTAGGAAACAAAATCATCTCTCAGGAAACCATCCATTCAATCAAATTACTCCTGACCAAAGGGAACATTCAGGAGGTCATCTCTGCAATCAATGATGCATTACAAGAAATTGTTGATACCCCAATCAATATTGCTGTGACAGGGTTGTCTGGAGCGGGGAAGTCCAGTTTCATCAATACCTTGAGAGGGGTTGGACATGAAGAGGAAGATGCAGCCCCCACTGGGGTGCTGCCAATGACCATGCACAGAACACCGTACACACATCCACAGATTCCCAGTGTGGTTTTATGGGACCTGCCTGGCATAGGAACCACTAATTTACATGCAAAAGATTATTTTAAGAAAGTAAAATTCAATGAATATGACTTCTTCATTATTATTTCTAGTACACGTGTCACACAACATGATTTAGACCTTGCCAAAGAGATCAGAAATATGAAAAAGGATTTCTACTTTGTGAGAACCAAGGTGGACAATGCTTTAAAATATGAAGAGACATGTAAACCAATTACCTTTCAAAGAGAAAAAGTCCTGCATCAGATCCGATACTGTTGTATCGATGCTTTAAAACAGAATAACATTGATGAACCACAAATTTTCTTGGTTTCTAACAAAAACAGCTCTGAGTATGATTTTCCAATGCTGAATGACATCCTATCAAAGGAGCTCCTTGCTCAAAAGAACAATTTCATGCTTTCTCTGCTCAATATTGCTGAGGCAGCCATTGAAAGAAAGCAAGAGTCTCTGAAACACTTAATCAGGTTAGAAGCCTTGAAGGTTGAATTATTACCACACTTACATAATATTATCAAGGAGAGTGATGTGGAGAAGCTGAAGGAAAGCTTACATGAATATCAAGTTATCTTTGGAGTGGATGATGCATCCTTGCAGAGTCTAGCTAAGGATTGGCATGTTTCTGTGGAACAAATCAAGGAAAATGTTAAATCTGCAAATTTGTTGAAAACTACAAATGAAGAAACAATAGAAGAAAAGCTTCAGGAATGTTGGCAGATGATCTGCTCAGACAATGGAAACCTCCTTGCTATGAATCTTTACATTACAAATATCTTTTGCTTGCAAATTTATTTCCTTGACACTGTGACTGATGATGCAAAAGTTCTCCTGAAAAAGATGTATTTGAGAAAGAGGTTAAATTTCAACTAGTATGAAATATCCTGTGTGTTGAATTCCTAATTCATGAAGGATAAATAACACAGTGGTGTCTCTAAATAATATACTGAGTTCATTGAGGACATTCAGCCTGCAACTCATAGTGAAGGATTGCATATCCCTGTTTGCTGGACCAATAGGATGACACATGTATAATAAGCAGAGAGCTCAGTACCAAACATCCACTTATAATAAACCACCAGGTCAGGTAATTTGACTGTAATCTTGATTTGTTTAATATAGCCAATCCCTTAAGACGTTGCCAGCAGAAATTCCTTTATTACTAATGTTGTTCTATTACTCGGTAGGACAACTGATCTACCATATGCACAAATGTCAAAGTAGGGACCTAACGTGTGAAAAAGTATGGTAAATTATGCCCCCAAAGAAACACAATAAGCTTCCAGGAATAGACTCTGAACAAAAGAAAATGGTGAAATGCCAGAACAAGAATTGAAGAGAATTGTCTGATGAAATTCTCTGAGATACAATAGAATATACACAGATAATTCATGAAATCTAGAAGCACAATTCAACATGTGAATGAAAAATTCGCAAAGAGGTAGAAAGCATTTTTAAAAAGAACAGAAGTCTTGGAACTAAAAATCTTAATAAGTTTAATAAAAAATGTAGGTGAGATTTCCAGGATAAAATGGAAGATTAACAGTTTCTTCCCTAACTTCATGAATGAGAAGAGTCAGGGTACCAAGGAGATACCCTACTCCCAGGAAGAAAAAGAGGAAGAACACCGAAAATCAAGAATTAGGTCACAGGACAGCTAAAAAGTTACAGACACAAAAAAACAATGCAGAAAAAAAAGTAAGAAACAGTCCACAGCTCCAACTCCCACTCCAAAAAAGGTAGGAAAACCAAAAGCTACAATCACAAGGTTATCCCCCCAGACTTGCCATGGACTGGAAGTCTTAGCCACAGGAAAAAGCCACAGTTGTCCTAAGGCTTAAGTCCAATGGAGGACTTGGTCTGGCAGTGACTCATTTCCACATGGAAAGCTAGTCTTGAAGAAGAAATTCATTGCATCATTTCCTATATCTCATTGTACTACTATTGAGCGGGGAGCCTATTCTTTGAGACTGTACTCTGGGGACCTGAAAATAAAGAATAATGAGAAGTCAGGGGGCCTGAGAATACCTTATCACAGTGTCTGGAAGTGAGGCAGCCAAAAAAAGCAATCATAGAGAAGGGGAGGGTCAGACACAAACACACTAATAAGTTTAGGCAGTAGAGACAGAAAGGTGTGGAGAGCATGGTGGTAGGTGTCCCTGGCATCTGTGGCATGCAGACAGACAGTCCACCTATGAATTGCTGCAGAGATTGGCACCAATAACTAATTGAAACAGCAATATAAAATCCCTATTAAAGCAAAGCCCAGACCAGAGGGCTTCACTGCAGAATCTACCATACTGTTTAAAAAAAATCTAACATCAAATCTTATCAAACCATTCCTAAAAGTTCAAAGGATAAGAACTCTTCTAAGTTCATTCTATGAAGCCCACATAACCCAGACACTGAAACAAGGCAAAGACACAACAAAAAGAGGAAAGCATAGACTAATATTCCTAATGGATATACATGTAAAAACCATCAACAAAATACTAGTAAACGATTCAACAAAAAATTTTAAATATCATTCAAAATAGAAAAGACAAACCACAGGAAGATCCACAGACATGTACCAGCTGGTACTGTAGAAAATAAAATTTAAAATGGGTGCTCTATCTACCACACAACAAGTAGTTATCAATAAAAGAACTCCTAGCACTTCCAAGCTCACTTATTGGTAGAGTGAGGGGGAATCATCACAGGACATATCTTGGTAAAACTGTGGGCTGGTAAGAGCAGAAGACTGCATTTTCTATATTTGCAAGCTACAATGACCTCATCATCTCCTCTGGCCAAGCAATTGACTGCCCAGAAACTCAGTGTGGACATAACAGCAAACCCAAGGATGAAAACACTGAACAGAGGCAGTGAACTGTGATAAGAGGGGAGAGACTAGATGTCTGGGAATACAAACTGGGGTGCTAAGATGGAGGTGGAACTAAAGTTCTACCAGAGTCCTTGCTGCCTCTCCCAGCCAGTACATGCTGCTTTTATTTGACTGATTTTTGCCCTTCCTAAGGACCAGAAAGTTTGGTGGAGAGCAGACCCAAATTAGGAATTTCCCATGCTAAAACAGCCCACACTATGCACCTGTCATGCTATTACTGAACCTTGAGGATTTGACAGCTGAGCTTGTGGAAGAAGTTTGACTGGCTTTTGCATGTTGATATTATATCCTGTGATGTTACTAAAGCCAGTTATTGGTATAGCAGTTTTGTAAAATACATAGCCTTGTCACTCTATATAAGATTATGCCATATGAGAATAATTATACCTCTGCTTCCCAGGTCATCTGAACATGTTTGCTGACTAGAAAGTTCAGTGCTATGTTTCGTAGAAATGGTGAAAGCAGACATCTGAGCATGGTTCCTTATTTTAAGAGAAAACTCAGTCTTACACGATTGAGCATGGTATCACTACAGGTATTTCATGTATGGCTTTTATTATGTTGAGGAAGATTCCTTCCATTTTTAGTTTATTGAGTGTTCCTATCACAAAAGGTTGTTGAAATTTTTTAACGCACTTTCTTCATCAATTGCGGTGGTTGTGTGTGTTTTCCTTCATTCTCTCAATGTGATGATTTATATTTATTAATTTTGAACATTGAACCATCCTTACATTCCAGGAAAAAAAAACATAGTGTTATAGTACATAGTCCTTTTACTATATGGTTGAATTTTTGTTAGAGGTTTTTGAGAATATTTTACATTGATATTCATAAACAAGACTGACCTGTTGTTTTTTGTTTCAGTGTCATTGGTTTGAGTGGATGCTGGCTTATGGAATGACTTACAAAGTGTGCTTCTCAAGTTTATGGAAGAGCTTGGGAATGATTGATGATAATTCCTTAAAATTTCACTAGAATTTACCAGGGAAACCATCTGGTCTTCAGTTTTTCTTTGTTGGGAGTTTCTGGTTGCTGATTAAATCTCTGTATGATTTCTACATCTATTCTGACCTTTTTTTGTTTCTTCATCAGACAGTATTGGTAGTTTGCATATATCTACACAGTTCCACAATTCATTTGATTATCAAATCTTTTGAAATAAAATTGTTCTTGATACTAATTGTAACTTTTTAATTTCTGTAGAATCTGTATTAATCTTACTTTTCTTATCATTTTAATAATTTTCTTCTTCCTTAGCCAATGTAGACAAAGGTTTGCTATTTTGTTGAACTTAAAGGAGAATTAAATCATTTTCATTTTCTCCATTGTTCAGCAATTCTGTTTTATTTATCTCTATTCTATTTGGTTATGTCTCATATGTTCACTTTTTCTTCTCTAGTTGCTCAAGGTTTAAAGATAGGTTTTGGTATGAGATTCTTCGACTGTAGAGTAAGTATTTAGAGCTATAAATTTCCACCTTAGCACACTGTCATTATGCCTTACACTGAGGTGGCTAAGTATAACTAGTCCTTAGCAATTAGGCACACTGCTAAAAGATAGTCCTGTGGATAAGTATGGAATTTACATTTTACTCCTAGATTGTGGATGATCACCTTTTAGATGTCCCATGACAGTTGGGGGGCCTCTAAGAATATTAAAGCCATTCCTGATGGATCTATCTTCATGACATAATCACCTACCAAACACCCCACTGATGAATACCATCACTTTGTTAGGATTTAACATATGAATTTTGAGGGGACCCATATATTCAGTCTATAGCAGTAAGAATTCAGATCTTGATGTAAATAGGTAGAAGGGAACCATAAACAATACAGAGTCTTTCCTCCATGTCTCCAAATGTGTTTGCAATGATAAAAGGATAGTCAATGTTACCAGAAAAATGATCCTGAGAATTACCTTGGTTCTTGCATTCAGCAGGAGAAGAATTCAAGAAAGGCACAAAGATTTAGTAAAAGTAACAGTAAAATTTATTAGGAAAGGAATACACTTTCAGCAGACTGAAAGCATGCTGTCTCTAGAGTGAGAACAACTCTAGAGACAAGGAAGAGAGAAAGAGAGGAAACATTTCCTGTTACCCATGCAGAAAATGGGAGCAAAAACTCAAAATGGTGGTCCCCAACTTCATGTTTTATACTGGAGAACTAGGGAAATACACATGGCTGTTAAAACAGGGAGGGGTCATTTGGGGCCTCTTGGGTGATTTCCTGGATTTGTGTACTAACCTTTGCTCTATCTAGCTCTTGGGTCTGCATCTTTATTTTGTTAAATTCACTTGTGAAAACCTCCCTGTGCCAGACATACCTGGTATTTAGGATGTGGATTACTCTTGGGAAAAGAGTGAATTCAGCTTTAATGTAGTGTCTGACTTCAAAGCATCCTGTGATAGCCTCTGGACTCTGCGTACCTGATCCTAAACAGAGCTTAGTGTAGTTGGGAAGTTGAATTAAAGTGATTTCTTCCTGTCTTCCTGTTATGGCCACTGTGTATGTCTAACTATTATCTGTCAGTTGAGGAGAGACTTTTTTGGGGGGGAGAGGGAACTGAGGCTTTGAACTTGGGCTTCATGCTTGCAAAGTGGGCACTCTAGCACTTGAGCCACACCTTCAGTCCATTTTGCTCTGGTTATTTTGGAGATAGGGTCCCACAAACTATTTGCCCACACAGGCATAGAACTGTGATCCTAACAGTCTTAGCTTCCCAAATAGCTAGAATTACAGGTGTGAGCCACCAGTGCCCAGCAAGGAGAGACAATTCTAAATGCTCTGAGAAAATAAGCTCAGCAATGATAGTCCTGTTGCCACTAGAATCTGCTTCAGAAAGAATTTTTGTCTATATTCTTACCTCCTAGACGCACTGTCAGGTAATTTGAAACTTATCCTAGTACTATTATGAAATCCACATTGATTGAAAGACATAGACTTGAAGCAAACAAACACACACACACACAAACAGAGACATGGAAGATTTGTCTGAAATAGTTAACTAAGAGTTGTAAAAATATCTGTGTATGAACCCTCCACTTCACATTCTGGATTGCTCTAAAAAATTTTAGTGTTTAAAATTTGACTTACACATATAAGTAAATGTAAAAATGATAAAATAAAATTAAAAAATAAAAATTGACTTATCTTTCCTGTTATACACCAAATGGTTAACAAATGTTCACTGAAGCCTTGAAGCAATTACACATGCTTATAATTGCAGCACTCAGGAGACTGAGGCAGAGGATTAGGAGTTCAAGACCAACCTGAGCTACCTAACAAGACTGCCCCTAAAAAATGTTCAATGAATACAATTGGCCTGACAATCTTCTGTATACATTTTATCATTTTTTCATTTTTTT